ATAGAATAGAATAGAATAGAATAGAATAGAATAGAATAGAATAGAATTCCTTATTGGCCAAGTGTGATTGGACACACAAGGAATTTGTCTTTGGTACATATGCTCTCAATGTACAAAAAAGGCACACTGAAAGATGGCAGATTTTTGGACACTCAAGAAGATGGAGATAAACCAATCTTTGGATGAATGTTCTTCCAGATTGAGAAGGTCCTATTTTGTGGATTCTGTAGATGACAGTCATTAAGAGAAGTCTAAGAAGATTCCTTTCTTAAATTATGGGTAGAAAGCAGTGGGATCATGCATTCCTTGGATCAAGTTCAGAGTATTATAGAAACTTGATCGTATATCAATGATGTTTCCAAGAGAACAGTATAGATCAGTAGTCTTCAACCTTGACAGCTTTATAACTTGTAGTCTTCAACTCCAAAGAATTCCTCAGTTAGCCATGTTGTATAAGGAACTATGGGAGTTGAAGTCTGAAAGTCATTGTCCTAACCTGCAGCTCTGGGATTTTTGTGGTGGTATCCTAAGCATGATGCAACTTTTTGGGAGGTCATCCAAGGCCATCTTGATCTAGCCACCTGCTGTGACTGAATTCCCATCAGGTTTTAACTACTTCTTAGGATACCATCTAAAGTTTCCTGCCCTTGAAGTCAAAATCTGCCCACAGTTCCTGCAATGGGTGACCCAGTTTCTAAAATGGGATTGTTATACTGATCATGCAGAGGATGTTGTCCCTGCCTTCTCTAAACAGGCAACTATTACACTAATACAATAGGTGTTTCATTCCATTCAATAGGTGTTCCATTCATTATGTGAATATGATATGACCTTTGAAGAGAAGTACTTCATTAATTATTATTTTTAGAAGAAATAAGTCAATTGCACAGAAGTACGATGCACTCATATAAAAAAAATATATAGGACATTCTTCCTAATTGTATGAATTGTGCAAATCAATCTTCACTTTTTCATTCCGCCCCCCGCGTCCCCAAAGAGTAGAAAAGCTACTTACACAATCTATATTTTTGTTGAAAACAGCAATAATGCTTCTTTTGACAAGCTCACATTTAATTAATGCACAGTGGTAGAAAAATCCTTTCCTGTGTTATTATCAGCCCAAAGTAGCCGGTGTGCATGTGGATTTGGTAAACTCTTGTTATTACATGACAGTCATCCAGCAAAACAATTGCAATTTAACGGGGATCTTCTGGATGAAATTCAGCTTGCTTAATTTGTGTGAAATGTTCTTATTTCTATAGAATAAGCCACCGTTTGGTTATTGGATCAGCTGAGGAAAGATAAATCTTCGGAGTCTCTTAGCTAACCTTTATTGTTTTCTCAGATTATATTCTCTGATCAGAGGCTGAAAGATCTCTGAAGCATATGAAGCTCTGTTTTTTTCTGGTTCTAGTTCTCTAATAGCTCTCTTCTATTAATATAGAAGGAACGAGTTAGAAGACATTTTGGAGGTCTTCTAATCCAACCCCCCCTATACTGTAGAGTATAGGGTCTCCTAGCACAGTGATACAACTACTGATGTGCTTTGGTAGTAGCTCCAAAAAACCAAGTGTTTATTGAAATGATACAATTGCTGAGTAATACAACCACTGTTGTGCATTGATAGTATCTCCAATAAACCAAGTGTTTATTGGAGTGATACAACCACTGTTGTGCATTGATAGTAGCTCCAGTAAATGAAGCCCCTCAACCTGTTGGTTTGTTGCACCTTCTTGAAAAAAAATAATTATGATTTCTGTTTTCACCCAGGAAGCCCCTGTACATTGACTGAACAGACCGGGAACTGAACACGTCAAGGCAGCTGATTAATGACTTTAAAAGCCCTGTCGTTTCTTGTTTGTTTTGCAGAACAAGAGGAGTGCATTAACTGCACCGATGAATGCCGAGTGCTTGGTCATTCTGACCGGTGTTGGATGCCCCAGTTCCCTGCCTCCAACCAAGCAGACAATGCCGACTACCGAACAAATCTCTTTGTGCCCACGGTGGAAGCTAATGTCGAAACTGAGACTTACGAAACTGTGAACCCCACGGGGAAGAAGACTTTTTGTACATTTGGGAAGGACAAGCGAGAGCACACCATTCTCATTGCCAACGTGAAACCTTATCTCAAAGCCAAACGTGCCCTGAGCCCTCTCCTCCAGGAGGTCCCCTCAGCATCAAGCAGCCCAACCAAGACTTGCATTGAGCCATGTGCTTCGACGAAAGGACCGCTGGATGGCTGTGAAGTCAAAACAGGGGCCCTGGCTGAACCCAACAGTCAGTACCTGTCACCTAGTAAACAATCCAGAGACGCTGCCTTCATGGCGTCCGATCAGATGGCCAGGGTCTTCGCCGAGGTGCATTCCCGAGTCAGTCGAGACTCCGCTAATATGGACTCTGTCTTGGAGCAGATAGACCGTTCAAACAGGGAACTAGGGAGAGAGTCCGTAGATGCAGGGGAAGTGGTGAGGGAGATTGACAAGCTTTTACAGGACTGTCGGGCGAATGACCCTGTGGCTGTGAGAAAATGAAGCAAAACAGAAATGAAACAAAACAAAAAGAAAAGACAATCTGGCATCGATTTGCTTCTTCTGCTGAATTATATATTAAAAAAGAAAAAGAAAGAAAAAAAATCTCCCCTGGTTCTAAAATTTATACAGGGATGAACAAAGACCAATGCTGCTTTAAGGCTTTTAGTGAATATCTGAAGTGCCCTCCCGTATGTTTGTTTCACTTGCTCTTTCTTTCTTTTTTTTTCTTTTTTTTTCCTTTATGTTTTCAGATAACACTGGTTTCGTTTTTACCAAACTTCCATTAGAACAATATGGTGTATGTTTTTTTTAAAAAAAAAAGAAAAGAAAAAAGAAAAATAGGAAGGAAGGAAGGAAGGAAGGAAGGAAGGAAGGAAGGAAGGAAGGAAGGAAGGAGGGAGAGAGAGAGAAAGAA